AAGGCAGATTCGAGATCAGCGTCCAAAACCACGTCTAGTGAGCTACATCTCATTACAAATGGCCACTTCGACCTGACGACCTTCCCTAGTCGGTTAGGGTATGAAAAAGTTCAATAGAGCACAAAATTCATTGGGGTCTTTAACATTTGCTCTGGTTTGTCATCTTTTACAGCAGCTCACAGAAAAACTTGGCCACCCTCTATTATATTGACGCTGGCGACTGCGCAAATCATGTGAACCACATAAACATAGGGAGAATCACCCTTATCTGATTTCTTTTGTATCTGTTTATTTCCTGAAGTTGCGTTTATGGAACCGCCAAACAATTGTGTGTTACTATCAAGAAAAACATCATTAGATTTTCAATCATTGATGAAACCTGCTAAATGTTGCGGATGTACGCTGTAGTAAATCATTTGCTCCAGTCGCAAAGCTATCGGCTAGCAAATGCACGTAAGTGAGCTGCTGAGTCATTCGCCGCGCGACGCGCCGCGTGCCGCGGGCGCTGCCCCGGACGATTCTGTTGCACGCCTCCCAGGAAGGAGACGTGGCGTCACATGGTCGCAGCGCTGCGCTACCTATCCGTTTGTTCCAATTACTGAGAGGGAAATATATAAATGAGGAATACGTACTATGGTGTCTGTCGCTTGCCTCCACTCCAAAAACTGTTCCAAGGTAACATTATAGCCGTGTACGGGAACGACGTCAACGACTACTATTCGAATGCCAAGTTGAAAAGCATACTGTAAGATCACATTCGGGATCTGAGATGAAATTGTAAAATCACTAAAAATCTGACTTACCATATTAACTGCATGCATTAACATTAACATTGCGGCTCGTATTCGTTCGGGCTCGTGGCCGTAATGTCTAGCCTAAATGCTATTTGTCTCGTAACTTCTGCCACATTTTCTACTTCTTGTGTGTTTAAATTCTCTCTCTGATGACCATATAGTAAACAAGTATAACCAGCTGCAGGGTTACTTATATGTAGCCATGTAAACAATCGCTGGCCAACGTGTACCATACAGTCAGCACCAAATGAAAGCAGCGGAACTGTGTGGATACTGAGTCTCTCCGATATATTACTGAAAAAGGAGGAATGTGAATTTGAAATGAACGTACCAGAGCAGCATCGACACAAAGCAAAAGCTCTACGTAGTGAGCAGATCTTCTTTTCACCCCACTCCAGTCGGGTAGTGTACTACTGGAGGATAGGACGCCTTGTTCGTCAGCGCGCGGTAGAGGCAGCACCTGCAAACAGGAGAGATTCTGCAAGAGTTCAGATGAATGAAGCAAAGAAGAAGTATAAGAGAATGAGGTGTTTCACGTATTTCACCTAGGTTCAGATTCGTCGTTGCTTTTTGCATGCTTTTCGGCTAATGCAATAACTTGCAGAGGCTAGCCGATGTACAGGTAAAGTTTTCGTCCTCCCAGGCAAGCTCACCGACCCCGGTAAAAGGTTCCAATAGCGCGAGCGGTAATCTACCAAAGATTTCGTATCCGTTTACCGTCGTTTACCCACTACCCTAGCTCTGAGAATAAAACCGTAAAAGGGCATAGACACGGAGAATGTACATGTCTCTTCTAATTCACAAGCTACTTTTTATCTCCCTCGTTGACTATTAACTGAAATAACTGTTCTTTCAGTGAACAGTGAACAAATGCGGTTGTTCCTTTCTTCTTTTAAAGGCAGCGCCCGCGTTCAAATTTGATGAGTATGCGGCTCAGGTAGTAATAGCAAGGTAGCAAGAAACCTATTAGTGAAGAAAAATCAAAAGAAAACATGCAAAATGCCCTATAAGGAGTTTCATACCGAATAGCGGTTGTACGTGCTTAAGGCGAAGAGAAGGAGTGGTTGCACGAGTTCTCACTTGCATATCAGCTTTTCCCC